TATTTAGTTAAAATTTTACATACCAAATTATGATATCTTGATATTTTATTCAGTCTGATCTATTTTACCAAAAATAAATGAATTCAAAATAAATCAATTCAAATTATTCAGAAGAATTCAATGATTACTGCATTTCTCGAAAATCCTCTTTTTTTTTCAGGTCATGCAGATGTTATGCTTGCAGTTGGTTTTGAGAAAATGAAAGGAGGCTCATTGGAATCAATGGAAAGTATCGATGGTCGAACGCATTCATTGGAACGACATATCGATGTCATTTCGAGCACAAATGGCCTAGTACCTGTACCGCTTATGGCTCAAATGTTTGCTAATGCTGGCCGAGAACATATGGATAAATATGGTTGTTTTGTTAGTCAAAAATTAACCAATTTTTGTTTAGATGTATTATTTAATTTATTGATTTACAAATATTTTTATTTCAAAAATTTGTCTTCATTTTGCTCAATTTTAGAATTTATTTGTTTATTGAATTTTCTAAAATATCATTTTTTTTTTTTGTTTCTTTTTTTGAATAAAAAAAAAATCTGAAGAAGTAAAAGCAGAGATATAGGGTGGATATGTTGATATTTTATTCTATGTGTTCCCTTTTAATTTTAGTTTAAATAATTTATGAAATAATACCATTTTATTTCCTTTTTCCTTTTAGGAACAAAAAGAGAGCATTTTGCTAAAATAGCCCAAAAAAATCATAAACATTCCATTGATAATCCGTAAGTTTGTTTGAAATTATTTTCCATTTGTCGTCAAAAGTTGAAAAGTGCAAAAACGAAAAATGAATGAGAGAAATAAAGAATATGGAAAATATCTCTTTGTTAAAAATTTTGATTTATCTCAATTTCATCTAAAGTTAATGAAGCAAGAATGTAATCGGAATCTAAGAAATTCTTCTTGTCATCCCCGTAAATTCGACCTTCCTTTTGTTTCACTGTTATTTCTTTTTTAATTTTGCCATTAATTTCTTTTCGAAGAGTAAAATACGTAATTTTAATTCAAATCATTAACTTTACTGATAAAAATGAATGAAATCATTTATTGCTAAAGGCTGTTAATTGCTTTTCTTTTCCTCGCTGTTACAGAAATTCACAATTCCAAAAGGAGTATAGTTTGAACGAGATTCTGAATGCGAGAGTAATTCACGATTTTATGGGTCTTCTGGAATGCAGGTTAAACGATCATTGAACAATTAATCCGATAAATGATCCGATAGATTAGCAGTAATTTAAATCGGACATATAAAACGCCTTGGATATATTTTTCGTTTTTTTATCAAATTGTTCCAATTAAGCTAATTATTATAACTTTAGCAAAAGTGATGATTATTGTGGAAAGAATATTTGCAATGTTTATAATATTCCAAAACTTAAAACTTTACAAAAAGGAGATAACAAAAGTGAAGGTTTTGCTTTTTTTTTTTTCAAAGAAATGATTTTGGAAAATTTCCAAAACACAAAATTGAATTTGATATTTTCAGTCCAACATCAGATGGTGCAGCAGCAGTAATTTTATGTAGCGAGAAATTCTTGAAAAAATCTCCTCATCTGTCGGCACAAGCTGTCGAAATTATAGGTAATAATAGTTTGAAAATTTTGAATTTCAAATGTATTTGGAAATCTGAGTAAATGTGGTAATAATTTGGAGTGAAGAAAGTTAGATGTGCAAAATATGTTTCAAAATATATTTGATATAAATTTCACTTGAAGAATTGAAAGTCAAATGTAAATTATAGATGCAAAAATTTGTAACCATTCTCTAAATTTGACTTTTAAACAGTAAATTTGATATTTTACTTTAAATCATGCTTAAAGGTTCTTTTTGTGTGTAAATAAATTCTAACAGAAATATTGAGGGATGGCATATGTAATATAAAATAGATGAAATAGATTAATTGAAACTGATAAATATCAAAATTCAATGTTATATATATCCCATACGATGATTTAAGGTATAGATTATTTCATGTTATTTTTGCTATAATTTTTAGAAAACAAAAAGTTATATTGAATATTTTTAATATAGGTGCTGAGTTTGGAACCGATGAACCGTCGGTATTTGCTGAACGTTCAAGTATAAAACTGATTGGCTTCGATATGATACAAAAATTATCAACAAGATTATATCAGAAGACGGGCTTAACACCAAATGACGTGCAGGTATGAAATCGAAGAAATTAGTTTCTTTTTTTTTTTTTTTTTGAGAATTTGAAATTTGTTCAACAATAAAATGTTCAAATGTTTTTTAGAAGAATATTAGGAAATAGTAACATATTAAAATAAGTATTACAGGTAATTGAACTGCACGATTGCTTTGCACCAAATGAATTGATTTCTTACGAAGCGCTTGGACTTTGTCCCGTTGGCAAGTCACTTTTATTTAGTTCACAGTTAAAATTTAAAATTATTTTTTTAGTCCCATGTTTGAATTGTTCAAAATTGCATATGAAATTTTGATATCATTTCTCGGTGAAATTGAAATTGATTATTAAGGAGACGATTTCAAAACTATAGTTAAATTGATTTTATGCAATGTATACATACATTTTTGAAAAAATGGTTGAAATTCAGTAAAAATTGATTGAAAAGAAAACGCTATTAACGAGAGTAACTTTTTCCATTATTAATTTCAAAGAAATCGAATTAAAAGAATTTTTTTTTCCAGGTAAAGGTAGTCAAATTGTTGATAGAAATGATAATACATATGGCGGAAAATGGGTCATCAATCCATCTGGTGGCTTAATATCCAAAGGTCATCCAATCGGTGCAACTGGTATGAATATGAATACAAGAAAAAATGAATTTTTATTCTTTTTCTTACTAAAAGACTACTTTAAATTTTCACTTTTTATATTTCAGGTGTTGCACAAGTTGTTGAATTATCGCTTCAATTACGTGGTCTTGCTGGTGCACGTCAGGTACCAAATTGTAAAGTTGCAATGCAGCACAATATTGGTAACACCATTTATCTCAAATGCAATATTTTAGAAAAAAAAAAAAAAAAGAACGTAATTTTCGAATAGTAATAGTAAGTTTAGAATATTACAACGATTGATCAGTATGCAGCAGTTTAAAATTTAAAAGAAAAATCAATTTTCTTTCTGTTTTAAAGAAAAAAAGATTATTAAGGAATTGGTGGAGCTGGAATGGTAGCATTATATCGTTTAGCTGTACCATCTCCAACAATTTCGTCAAATGTAAAAATTCCTGCAAAAACAGTCTTTCTAAGCGATGCCATTTTTGATGAGATCAAAGAACGTGCAAAAGTGGTAAGGAAATTCGTTTTTTTTTTTATAAAATTATATTTTCAAAATTTGGCGAATGAATGCAGGAATTTCAAATGAATCGATTTCGTTCAAAGAAAAAAGAAACAAATGTTTATTTTGTTTTACATTCAGGAAACAGATTTACCAAAGAAAATAAACAGCTCATACAGATTTATTTTGACCGGGCCAGATAACACTGTCAAGAAATGGTTTGTTAATTGTAAGGTATGCAAATTAAATTGTTACCTTTCATTTTCATTTTTTTTTTTTTTTGATATGAACTAAATTAAAGTTTGCTAAAAATTGATGCAATGCGAGAATGTTTTGTCGTTCAAATATAGCTTCATTGTTAGGTGACACCACCGACTATCGTCGAAATGGGTGAAGGTAATGCAGATGTGGAAATGTCAATGATGGAATCTGATTTTATAAAAATTGTTGCTGGAAAGTTGCGACCTGATCAGGTAAATATACATATTTGATATTTCAAAATTGAAAAACGATAATAAGTATGATGTTTAGTTTGTATCATTTGTTGTAACACAATGTTTTTAATATGAATTAGACAAAATATTACAGAGTAACATTAATCATATTTGATTTCCAATTCATTAAAATCATTCCGCTTTTGCTTCTTACAAATAAATCGATCATTTTCATATTGTGAATTAATTATTCGAGAAAGAATTGAAGTGTTATTTATGGCTCCATATCTCGAAATTTTTTCACTCCTTTTTAAGAGCACTCAGCAGTTAATATCATGTGAAATGATTTCAGGCATTCCAGCAGCGCAAATTAAAAATTAAAGGTAATTTGGCAAAAGCCATGAAGCTACGAACATTATTGAAATCGGCAACGTCTAAAGCCAAATTGTAATATCAAAACTTCTTACATTAATCTATTTTGTTTATAGCAAAAATTTTTCGAATTTGAATAAATTATTTGGCGACATTTTTTTTCTTCATAAACTTTTACGTAATTATCAGATGTGTTTATTTAACTTAAATACATCTTCGTTATTATCCTTCTTCAGAAGGATAATAACGATGGCTTTTGATAATTCTTGAAAATGTTGAAATATTTAAAGTTGCAAAAAAATCGTACGAAAACCAAACTTTGATTTATGTGTTCATGATTATCAAATTCGAAGCTCTAATAGCAGCATTAAGCATTGGAGAAAAGCAAAATGTGAAATAAGAAAGTTATCATACCATTGTCAGAGCATGTCGAAAAAGCTGAAATCACTTTATAGTATAAAATATTCATATAATCAAAATATCTTTGTATTTGAAATTGGTATTGCATCAATTAATTTTAGTCGAATGATAGAATATTGTTCAATAACTTTATTCAATAACTCAATTCATGATTTTAAAGAATAAATGATTAATTTTAAATAATGCTCTTTATCCCATCGGCTTCATCTTCCAAGGACTAAATTGATCGCTGATTTATCATCATTGGCTATATCCAGTGTACGTATAGGCAATTCTTTTAGTTTTGTAATTGTAGTTAGCTAAGAAGTGATAGCGAAAATGCGGGATGACCTCGAGATAACGATCTTCAAGAAAAAATTACTGCCCAATTTCCATTAGCATATTATTTTTACCACTTTATTTATCATTTTTGAAACATAATAAATTTACTTTACTTCTGTTCACCGAAGGTAACTGTAAGCTTGACAAAACTAAAAAATTAGTTAACTAATATCGCATTCGATGAAATATTAAATAGGTTTCAATTCTTTCTGACAAACTTCTGATTGCAACATTTCCACGGCTTTAACCCTTTTTTTTTTTTTTTTCTAAATGACAAATTTGACAAATTTGTTTTCCTCTTCTTCTTCTCATATTTTTCAATTTACCTTTCATAGGTCTTTCACAGAGTAATCCGGGGAATAAATCAATATCATTTACATTTCTATACAAACTTTTTAATCCTTCTACAGCTGCTTCATCCATTTCACTTAATAAATCGGAGAAATCTTCCGCCGCACCAATACCGCAAAATTTTCTTAAACATGACGAAATATGAATGTAACAAATGAATTATTTAACTTACAAGCTTAAAGTTTTGTTTGAAATATCATTTAAAAGATCTTATTGCTATTATAATTTACATATTTTATAAAAATTATTTAGCTTGTAATCGCAAAATTTTGTTTGAAATATGATTTAGAACAACGACTATATCAATGAGATAGAAGTAACAATAGTTGATTAATTAATAATAAATAAAAAAAAAAACATTTTCTTTATCAAATTTTAATCCAAACTGAAAACATTATTAGCGTAATTTTAAATGTGTATGTTTTTTTTTAAATCCATTTTTTTCCAACAGTTTTCAATATTTTGCATGATTTCGATTAATTAATTTATAAATTGTGCTGAAAAAGAATTTGAGTACCGGAAAGCGTTATAAGGTTGTACACCATGATCGCGACCTCTTAAAATATTTAAGCTTATAAGGTCCATTCCAGAAAGTGGTTCACCTCGTCGGCCAAACAGGTGATTCCGTAATGCGGTGGTAATATGCCTATCGAAAGCCATTGATGGTGTACCAAGTAAGCCAACAATTAGTGAATCGATGCTACCTTCAAAATCATCATCACTCAAGATAATTTAATAATAACAATTAATGAGAATTAAAATTTTTCATACCACGGTGTAACTCTAGAATATGATCAAAATTAAAAAATAAAATCTTAATTAGTTTTGATTTTTTTAAACAAGCTGAAATAGATTGATTAATTGTTAAACATTCCTTGCCATTTTTATTTTCATTTCCTTGCATATTTTATTCGCTAACTTTTAAATCTACGATAGTCGTTTGTCTTATCATCAAATGATAATACTATTCCTAGAAATATATTAATATCAAACAAATAATTCAAACAATTATCCGAAAGCATACCACGTCTACCATCATAAATTGCTTCAACATTATTGAAATTTTCAACCAAATCAACCGGTTCAGTGAAATTGTTATAGTGAGCATCAAAACGTGAAAAAAATCGTCGGACCAAAGTATGACCAAAACGAAATGCCGATGTTGAAAATGGATGCGATATTGATGCATCACAATCATTATCGTAACCTATAACCGTTTATTTATATTTAACAAAATTTATATTTCAATAATATCAAGCAAAGAAAAAAGAACGAAGCAATACTTGAAAAAAAAGGAAAAAAAAAACTCAATATGACATATCTTTTGAAATTTTTAGCAATAAAAAATATTTATGAAATTGTACCAGAAAAAAAGGAACGAAAAATTTTTTCCATCTATCGTGTCTATTCATTTTTGTAAATCACTTTCCCTATCATTTATCATTATAATGATAATAATAAATTTGTTTCGCAGATATCACTGATAATAATAAATCAATTCGCAGATATCACAAATATTACTGCTATAACAGAAGAAGAAGAAAATGATGATGATATGTGTTATAAGAAGGAAAAAGGAAGATTTTATACAAGAAAAATCAAAATATAACTCAAATTTTAAGAGAACAAAAAAAATAAATAAATAATAATGTTGGAAATATTATTACAATTTATTGGAAATGAATGGAAAAATTAATGTAAACAACAAAAATTAATATATGTTAGTGATTTATTTTTCATAAGCACATATAAATATTAATTTAAGTAAATGGAAAAAATTACAGAAAAAAAAAAATCTATACCATGATAGTAACCAATTTTACGAACGTTCAAATCATATTTGAGCATCAATTGATCACCGAGCAATAATGGAAGATATTCATGATAAACTATATGAGCAAATTCTGCGCCTACAATTCGTCTTGTTTCCTAAAAATTACACTAACAGATGTTGGTGAAAGAATTTATTACTATAAAAAATTTTGATTAAAAATTTATTATTTTGATTAATTTAGTTTCTTAACTCTAATACTTTTAAAAAAAAACAAAAGAAAAGTGCAAAATAAAGTTCGCACTAGCATATGTTAGTAAAATAATTTATTATTATAGGAAATTTTAATTAATTAGTTTCTTACTACGCTTAATTTTAAAATAATATATTAAGAGAATAGAAAAGAGGAAAAATAAAGCTTACATTAGCATATATTAGTAAAAGAATTTATTGTTATAAGAAATTTTGATTAATTACTTTCTTACTAGGCTTACTTTTAAAATAATATATTAAGAGGATAGAAAAGAGGAAAATAAAAGGTATAATGACATATATTAGTTAAAGAATTTATTATTATACCAAATTTTGATCAAAAAAAATCCATTTGCAATAATCAAGAAAAAAAATTCCCATATTTCCCATAAAAATTTTTATTTTCATAAAATGATACATTAATAAACAAACATAAAGAGGGAGAGAGAGAGAGAAAGAGAAGGAGAGAAAGAGAGAAAGAGAGAGAGAGATAGAGAGGGGAAAAAAAACTATTCACCTGATAAATTCGTTCATCATCCCAAGCTGGATTCATTTTTTCTAATTGTCGAGCAATTCGATTATGCTCTCGCAAAAATATATTATGCATTGATGTAAGTGCAGGCTGATGACTGTTACGTTCATCACCAGCAACAAAACACATGAAATGCGGTGAGGAACGACAATCTTGTTCTTGATCACCTTGTGGTAATGCTTCACTATAAAAAAAAAAAAATAAAAAAAACTCATTTAATAATTTCATCCTTTTTTTTTTCTTTATTAAATTTCAATTATTTAATTATTGCGAATTATTTTTTTGTTAAATTATTTATTAAAAGAAGGAAAAGAAATTACGTATTAAATGTGCCAAGATTGCTGGTATTAAGACGTCCACCAACAAAAGCACGTAATTCTTTTGCTTCACATTCTGTGGAACCATAAATTACTGAACCATCCAAATATGCTGTCAACTGCAGGAATGTATTACCGGATGCACAAATGGATAAATTAATTTCCACAAAAAAAAAA